GCAAGCCATTTTAAGGATTTGGTTACATTCATTAGAGGCAAATAATAAATAAACTTCATATATGATAGCTTGCTAAAAATTAGTATTTAATTAGAAAAATAATAATAATAAAAATTCTATAGAGAGGTAGATCACACCAGAGAGAGAGAGAGAGAGAGAGAGAGAGAGAGAGAGAGAGAGAGAGAGAGAAAGCTTAGGAAAGGTATTTGGAATTTTTAGTACTAGGAGAAAGGCAACAACAACAACAACAACAAAAAAAAAAAACAGATAACGAGACAAGTAATATCTAATAAACTGAAGACATTAAAAAAATTGAAGAGGAAATGCTCACTCATGAACGTCCAAACTAGAGTTCAAATATTCTTGTGAATCATATGATAATATACATTAAAAACCTAAATAAATTTACATACATTTGACTTAGTGTTATGGTTTGGATCTTAAGTGTCCCCTAAAAGCCCACATGCTAAAGGCAGCCTGTGGTGCTATTGGGAGGTGGGGAAGCCTTGGCCTAGATGGAGGAAGTTAGGTCAGGGAGTATGCTCTTGAAGGAGACTGGGATTCCCTGCTCTTTCTTCTTTTTCTCTTTACTCTGTGGCCATTTGATGTGACCAGGTTTTGTGCAACATGTTCTTCTGTCATAATGTTCTACTTTGACCAAAAGCAACAGAGTGACCATGAACTGATATTTCCGACACCATGAACCAAAATAAATTTTTCCTCACTTTAACTCATATTGTCCTTAGTCTCAGAGGTGAAACATGTATAAAAATGTAAATATAGTATATAAAATATAATTAAATAATAATGAGAATATAGTTATAATGTAACCATTATAATTATATTAATATTAGTAGATATAATATATAAACTTTTGGTTATTATTTCCAACATATTTTAATGCATGTGTTTCAATTTCATTGAAGTAGTCACAAAACTGAAAATTTGGGGTCTATTGGGTTAAGTCAATTATCTCAGGTACTTCTTGAGAGTGATGGAAAACTGATTGATACACCCACCAAATGTATTTCTATAAATGTATTCTGAAATGTATTCAGAAATTTGTTATGTATCAAAACACACTAATAATAAGTTTCAATAAATATTTGTTTAAAATACATTTGAATTTGATTGAAATTGTCTGATATTTATGGATTTCCTTGAATTTTTTTTTCGTACCAGGGATTGAACTCAGGGACACTCACCACTGAGTCACATCCCACCCCTATTTTGTATTTTATTTAGAGACAGGGTCTCACTGAGTTGCTTAGTGCCTCACTTTTGCTGAGGCTGGCTGTGAACCCTTGATCCTCCTGCCTTAGCCTCCCAGCCATTGAGATTATAGGCATGCACCACCATGCCTGGCATTGAATTTTGTTATATTTATGGAATATGTTTTTGAAGAACTGCCTTGGTTATGATATTATCTTCCAATTTAAGTATATAAAATTCTTTTCTATTTATTCATAACTTGCTTTACATAGTACAATGGATTCTGCCATATATTTTTTTTAAAGTTTGTTCCTAGATAATTCATATTTAAAGGTTTTTCCTATGAGTTCATCTTTTATCATCATAATTGATACTGCATAGCAAATTGAGTTGGAATATTGTAAAAAACAACATGCCACAATAAAAAAAAGTTAATAGTTTTAGTTGATTTGTTTGGATTTTTCAGGTAGATACACAATGATAAGTTTGCTTGATTTTTACAAAATGCTTAAAATTCCTATTTGGTTTTCATATCTAATTATGTCTATGTACAACTTCTAGAATAAATATAAATATATATAATATAAATATATATTCCTTAATATACATTAAGTAAGTATTCTTTAATTTAAGTGCCAGGAATGGGCACTAAATTTTATTAAATGATTTTTCAGTAACTAAAGAGATAACAATACATTTTATCTATTTTTACCAGGCTGAGATTACAAAAATACATCAATTCCAAGAATCAATTATCTTTGGTTTATTACCTTAAGCTTATTTGTTCGATGATATTTTTAGCATATGTAGTCTAATTTATTTGCTAAAATTCCATTATGACCTTGATAGTGGGATAATACTAACCTTATAACAATTGAGAAGCTTCCAGGATGTACCTAAATTTACCTGTTTATACGAAATAGGATAATATATTTCTTGAAAGTTTGAATGTACGTGAAACATTTATTACCATAAAAACATTCAGGCCTAATTTATATATATAAAATATACAGGCATATATATTATATAAAATATGTTATAATAAATATAAATAAATAATTATGTATTTATTGAAAAATGTTAACTTTTTTTAAAATTTAAAAATTTTTACCATATGTTTTATGCTTAATATTTTATTGTTCTCTTTTTAAATATTTGTTTCTGTGACTATAGTTTACATAAATAGATTATTCATTTTTTGTTGTCTTAATTAGATTTGCCAATAATTTACTTATTTTATTATTGGGCTTTAGCTGTTGGATTATACATCCATTTTGTATTTTTCTTTTTCTTTTACATTTCATTACTTTTTTAAAATTTATGACTTCCTTACTCTTTTTTTATGGCTATTTTGTTTCTTGCTGTTTTTCTATCTTTGTTTGAATACAAGTTCATCTTTACTTATTCTTTTTAAAAAATAGAGTATTTAATGTTTTGAATTTTCCTGACAACAATTTTAGTCACATCCATATATTTTAATGTTTTTGTTACTGTTATTATTAGTCTATAACTAGACTTTTGATTTATTCTGTAGTTGGGATTATTTAGAAGAAGTTTTTCTTAATTTTTATGTTATTTAATATTTATTTATCTTTTTGTATTGATTTCAAATTTTATTGCAGTGTGCTCAAAGATATTGGCCTATAAAAATAGTTTTTGTTTTTTGGAACTGAGTTTTCTTGTTTAAAATATGATTAATGTCTAAAAATATTCCATGGACTTTATAAAAGAGTATTCTATATATCAAGTGTTACAGACTGAATTGTATTTGCACCAAATACATATGGTAAAGCTCTAATCCCCAATGTGATGATATTTGGAGAAGGGCCTTTGGAAGATAATTAGGTTTAGTTAGGTGAGGTCATGACAGCGACCTTCTAAGAAGAGATACTAGATATTCTCTCTCCCTCTTTCTGACATGTGCCATGTGACACATCAAAAAGGTGGCCCACTGTAAGCCCTCTCCAGGAACCAAATCTGCTAGAACCTTGATGTTGGACTTCTAAGCCTTTTAGATTTGTAGCCAATCTAGAACACTGAGACAATAAATTTCTATTGTTTGTGCCACCTAGTATATATGGTATTGTTATGACAGCCAAATAGACTAAAGTGTCAAGTTTATTGATTATGTTTAATTGTTGAGCTGTATTATATAGTTCCTATGTACTTTATCTGCAAATATTACCAGTTGTATTTTAAAATTCTCTTAAAATGAGCACCTATTGAAAGAAAACGAAGAGTGGAAAGGCTAGAGGCTAGAATACTGGGAGAAAGATTTGTAATAGAGATAAATATCAACAACTTGTCCTCAAATTCAAGTATACTCTGGGGAACATGCCCAGACACACATCAGAAAGTCAAAATATAACTGAATGAAGTGGATGTTACTGTTTGATGTTGATACAGCCTGAAAAAGGCAACTCCCTGGATTAAGACCCTGAAGTCTTTTATGAACAGTAGAAAAGCCACCAGATGAGAGTATTACTGGGGATATGGAAATGTTTAAGAAATTGGGGATTTTGGAAGGAGTTTAGGGGAAAACCTAGGTCAGTTTATATAGATTAGAAAACTGGGCTGATGAACCTTAGAATAACAGGAAGAAAAAAAAATCACTAAAGACCATTGAGCAACCATAGCATTAAAAGGCTGTATGTCAATAGAGTTCCATGTGAATATCTAAGGGAAGATTTTAATGAATATATTGAGTTAAAAAGAGCACATCATTTTTGTTTCTCTCCCTCTCTCTTTCTAAGAACTCAACCACACTTCTTTTTTTTCAATTAAAGGTGGCAAGAGCTGCAATCTCTCTAACCTAATTACTTTCCTTTTTGTGTACACCCTTCTACCTTTCCAACTGTTGCTCATGTATGTCCATCCTGGGCTATATCATTGCTTTATCTGATGAAGAGCACAGTTTTAATTGGAAGCTGGGAACATGCCTAGGGCCAAGCGAGAAGTGAACTTTGTTTTTCTGGTAACCAAAGAGTCGGGAAGAAATATTGAGCTTTTGGAATGGGATATGGGGTGTGTCAAGAATGATTATTCAAAAAATTAATGACAAGATATGACCACGCACACCAAAATAATGAAGGCTTGAAAGTAATTTCATACTGAGCTAAACCAATTTATCTAATTGAATGATGCATACTCGTGTACCTTGACTTATTTGCTGTATGTAGTTTGTATAGTGGAATTATCTGGAGGAAATGAATACTTTCCAGAAGCCTACAACACATGCAAACTGTGATAAACTCTGTGATGGAAGGGGAAGTCCTGCAGAAGTATAGGAGCAAAGGTATACATTAATGTCAAGGGTATTACAAAGCTGGTCAAGGTAACTGATAATCATGACTTCATGTTTTGTGTTGAAAAATTCATCCCAAAGGTTTTAAGTACTTAGTTTAACATCTGCTAATTAATCAATCAATCAATCCAGTAAACATTTATAGATTTTTTTTTACTATATACCAGCTCTCAGCTAAGAATGGAAGAATGAGTACAAATATATTTCCTTCTTGCAGGGGAGAAGGAACACAATTACATCACAATGTGATTGAATTATAGGATCAGAACACATAGTTATTATATGTGTGGGTCAGGTTTGCATGGTGTCTAAGGTCACAGAGCTAGCTAGAAGCATAATAAAACCCAGAATTCTAATTTCTTGATTCTGAGCTCACTGTGGTCTCTACAATAATACTGCCTGCCACATAATGTTAAATGCAAGCAAATTATTATGAATTGTAATTTCAATCATCATAGGTTTATTTGAAAAAAAATCACCAAACCTGGACGCAGCTGAATTGACACTTCTCCTGGTGTCACTTGAGTGTTAATTTCATTTTCACTTGGTATGATTACACGCACAGATGGGTACTCTATCGAATCAACCGAACAGCCTTTGCTTATTAAATTGGAAACAATATCACAACGTTCACTTCTTGATCCACCTGAAATAAAATCCTGTTTAAAAAAAAGAAAATCACTGATGTTTTCAGTTTATATCATCTCAGTTATAACCAAAGAAAGTATATACATAGCAAATATTTCAAATAAGCCATTTTCAGGGCAGAACAAATTATGCAACTGTTTAAATTAGTTGCATGTTTCCAATAAGAATAGTGGCATATTTGTCATAAATAAAACTTTAATTTCTAAATCTCATTTTAAAAGAATAAAATGTATTATTAAAGAGGAGATTGAACTCAAGCACTTTAAGTGTTGTTAACTGATCACTGTAAAGTTATACTGTCTTAATTCTTTCTAAATATTTTACTTTGGAAAGACAGATCCAGAAGAAAATTCAGCCAAAATAGACCACTCATTGGTTCCAAATGTGAGTCTCAGTTCTCAAAGGACTCAACTGGTATGTTTATTATATACTGTTATGTTTGGAATATGAAAGCAAGTCCTTAGAAATACATGCCTAATTAAATGCCAAAAATTCATAAAAGAATAAATTGGAAATCTAATTTCTTAGACCATAAAGTTGTCCAGCCTCTTATACACACAACAGCCTAAAATCAATTCAGTAAACTAATGGAGATGTTCATGATGACATGGAGAGATATAATATTGCAGATCAAATTCTCCTGACTTTGCAACTGAATCTAAAATTTTCACTACTTAGCCTTGAGTAGTTGAGAGTTATCTAATAGACATTCAATAAACTTGGAATTAATGCAATAACCTTATTAATTTATCCTGAGGGAAAAAATTTTATATATTTATTTTTCATGTAAACATTTGGGATTTTTTCCTAAGAATGGGAAGTGTATTGAAAATATGAAAATATATTTTATTATGCATAACATTGGCCTGAGTTATTTGGGGTATTTGATTACAAATTAGCTGGATATTTGCTCAGCAATCTTCCTAGCAATGGCTATATAGATTCAACATTTCTCCTTTAATTAAGATGATATAAAGAATTGGATTTTTAATACATTCATCACTAAATTAAAGAATGTTGATTGAATATGTGCTGAAGGACAATAATTTTGTAGGTGCTGGGGTAATGAAATGGATAGAGCATGGCAGATAGAGCTCTTATCATCAAAATCAACAGACTATGGGTGAATTCACACATTAAGAAAGTAAATATTACTGTTATGGGAATATCACAGGGCATGGAAGAAGGGGATTATCAAGTTGACATGGACATTGAGTGTTGAATATGAGGTCACTAATTATAACCAGGGACAGCCCTTGCACATTCATACAAAATCTTCATTCTTTTCTCAAATAGAGCAGGGCATGGCAAACTAGGGTCAGTGAGATGATCCAGACTTCAGCTTATTTTTCTATGGTTTAAGTGCCAAAAAATTGTTTATACATTTTAAAAGCCTGTAACATAACAACAAAAGAAAACTGTGTGATAGGGATGGTGTGTGACCCACAGAGTCTAAATTTATTATGTAGTCCTTTATAGTGCTCGTCCTGAATTAGAGCCTGCCTCATCCTGTAATACATGCATTAACTAAAAGGCAAAAGGGAACATGTCTTTCTTTCCAGTCAAAATCTCCAGGTGACATTTGATAAGTTCATTATGGAAACAGAAACATTCAGTTTGCTTTGTTGATTAATCATATTCCAGAAATTGAAAATAGCCAAAGTCTTAGTTTCTTTTATCTGAATTTATTCTATGTACTCTCAAAACATTCTATGCATATGTGATAGAATTTATAAACAACATGGAGTTCCCTGGAGGGAGGTAGCAAATAACTGCTATAGTATGTGTCACATTCTTCCCCACAGGCTAAATGGGGGACCTCATTTCTCCCAAGTAGGGGATACTTATAGTACACAAGGCTTGGTACATGTATGCTTGATCATGTGTCAGATGACATGTTACAGACAAAGACCACATGCATTTTACAGATGTAAAAACCTAAGACTTCAAGTCATGGAAAGGAGATAAAGTACAAATAGCTTTATTTTCTTCTTTTCAGCCGATCAGAGACTGTTATTTGTGCATACAGAATGGAGAAGAAAGGAGGGGTGTCATTTACTGTAACTATACATCAGTTTATGCCATGTGACCTTTAAATGTCAAATAGTTTTGCTGAAATCGGCAAAATGTTCTCTATTATTTTGCAATATCTGAATCAGCACAGCTGTTTTTATCCCACTGTAAAAACTAAGTCAGAAAAACATTGCCAATTGGCCAATTAGGTTTGAAAAGGGAAGAAAAGACTGTGGCATCATACTCAAGAATGGAATGTTGCTCCTGCCCATTGTGGCCTACTTTTCATTTTGTACAAAAGAAAAGCAATTTGAAACCACACCCTTTTAATTTTTGATATTTTGTGTCATTTTAACTTATTCTAATCTTTATGCTTTACTTTTTTTCCTACAAGAAGAACAAAAGCAAATTCATAGTCTAAGTTTCTACATCTAAAATGTCTCTGAGAATGAAAAGGTCAGGTTGAAGTTACCCTGTCAAGTTTTTTTTATCAGTTGTTACTTTCATCTGTTTTCAGATAGTATTCTGGTGATATAAATAGCTCAAGTTTTCCCCCTACTAATGTCTGAGTCTTTTTGACTGTCAAACATGGCAATCTGAACAGAAATGGAAAAATTCTATCATCTTCCTTTTGACAGCAAATGTCCTTCGCATCATATTTTAGAATAACTATGCTCCTCTAAGCTTCTGGCTGTACTGTGACACTCTATATCAGAGTGGCAGCCAGGGGAGGAGGATAATTCTTCAAAACTTAACATGTCTTTCATAGACATTAATTAACAAGACACATAAGGTATTAAACCTAATACTGATGAGGTCCTTTGTATCCCAATTGTTTTCTGATTACTTCCATGTATCATGGAAGAAAAGAGAAAGTAAAAGACATGGAATGGCAGATAAAAATGCTACATAAGAAAACAATCCAAGGGAGTATCCACCGTCTAATTATTTTGTTATTTTTAATTTCTACCAGCCTTGAAAATGACATAAGCCAGGCTTATTTTATTATTGTTTATGTTCTCATCATGAATAGGGGAAAAACAAAACCTCATCCTTCCCTTTCCCTTCAGCTTACTGGCTGAAAAATCAGAGACACCAGTTGCATCTGTGCCTAAATCATGGGTGATCTTCCAAAATTCAACAATGCTTTTTGTCTCCCGATGATGTCAGGTAAGCCTGAAGGGAGTGGACAGCTCCTCTCAAAAATGTTGCCAACACTGGCCAGAGCCCTAAGACTGGGTGCTTGCTCTGAGGTGGTTATCAACACAGGCCATCATCTTCGTTTTCTAAGCCTCACCAGAGCTCTATAGAATTATGACTCCTACTCTTAATTATGACTCCTATTTCTTAAGCAGTCCCTATATGCCACATGTTGCTTTATTATGTCTTCAAAGACTGTGAGGCAGGTGCAGATAGTAATCCCAGTTCGGAGGTAGGGAAAACTGAGGTTCAAAGCGATCAACATACCCAAGTTCACAGAGTTAGAAACTGGTGGAACTGGGATTTGAATCCAATTCAGTCTCTCTTTAGGGCCTGTTTTTCAATATATAAATCAGACTATACCACGTTGTACAGAAGAAAATTTAGTGACATGAACAGTTAAGTTAATTTCTTAACATGTTTCCCTGTGTAGTCCATCTGAGGGTTTGCCCACTATGGACAAAGGACCTGCCCCCCACCATCCCTCACTGGGTGGGTAGCCACCTTTCTCTCCCTTAGCCCTCCCTCCACCTGACTACTGATCCTTCTAAATACCCCAGATCCTTCCTTCTGTGTCAGGACTGATTGTTTTCACAGAGTTGTGGCTTTTCTGATGCTCTGTGTCAGTCAGAACTGTGAGATGGAATGGGGCTTCCTCTGGAATCTGCTGTTCCAGTTGGCTGACAACTGGGCTTCAGAACCATCTTTGAAAGTTTCTCCAAATACCCTCCCCAAAGCACTGGAGGTCAGGTGGGCAAGTTTCAGGGCTCTAAGGATCTTTCTTAGCGAGGAAGTAAGAATCTAAAATAGCATGATGTTGCTTAGGTCAGAAACATTCTTAACAGAGAGAATAAGTAAACTCCAAGTTCAAGGTTTTACAGATGAAGACAGACTCAGAGAATGGAATGAAGTCTGCTGGTCTTTGGCTCATAAGAAGTCATGAGATTGCACCCTAAGACTCAATTTGTCTTGTCTGTCACATTGCTTGGCTCCATGGGTTGTGTAAAGCCCTTCTGAACTCAGGAAAGGATCTCATCTTTTTGCTGGTGGAGCCCAGAGTGCAGGTGGGCAGCTTCAGGCTGTCAGGCAGAAATCTGTTGATTTACAGATGTGGCTCTGTCTTGTGTACCCCACCCCTGTCTCTCCCCTGACTTGTTTCATCGAGAATAGTTATGCCTACTATCCTTGATTAATTTTTCCTGCTGGGGGCTGCCTCAGAACAAGCAGTAACAAGAGAAGTTGGAAAGATGATGGTAATTGTAGTTGCTGAGTTAAGTCAGAGGAGATCAAAGCCACAGTTTTATCTCCATATCAAGCAAAAGGCCCTTAAAACCCTATCTCTTCCAATTCCCAGGAGCTTCATAAGTAAATATAAAATTGCCTAGACAATCTCACAACTAAAGAAACCCCAATGTAAAAGACAATTTCTTTAGTGCAACTTATTATATATAGATAGTTTTGATTGAATATAATTGACAAAGGAAAAAAGAACTTTCAAAACAACTTTAGAGCCAAGAAAGAAGAAATACATTATAATTATTACACTAAGAATTTTGTCATTAGGATTTTTTCTCTTATAGAATGCAAAGACACTAATTTTGAAAAATAACATTTTCTGGATTATTCTCTATTCCATAGAACATAGTATATAATATTTCATGAACAAGTCACATATTAAAAGCATCATATTTTCCATATGTAACCAATAAATTGATGTACAATGTCAGGAAATGAAGTAAATCATTTATCTTCAAGTAGTTCAAATAAAAGCAAATAAAATGGACCAATAAATTAGCTTGCTTTTCTTTAATTTGGGAGCATAAGCTAACACTCCAACTTGAGTATACGACCTTGTGCCTCAAGCTGCAGCAAGAATTTCACATGGAATCCTACAGAACTATCAAAAGTTATTATCTGTGTTTGCCATTTCTTTCTATAGAACAGATGGAAAACATGAAATGGTTTTCACTTCATTTCAAAATTACCACAATTTTCCCAATAAAAAGTTATATTTGATTTTATATTCAGCCAAATATGCCATTTCCAAACATAAAACCAAATAAAAAATTCCTGTCAGCATTATCTTTTTTTTTTTCCTGATACACCTTCAAGGCACAAAATAGTCAGGCAATGAAATCATCCTAGAGAGAAAGTCAACTGTGATGAAAAGAAAAACAAGGAAGAAAAAGAAGAAAAATGGCACACCTCTTGTACACACCATCCACATTCTGGACCCAGCTCAAGGCACCTGGCGCAGGACACTGCGTCTGAAGATGTGCATCTATTGTCTTCTGTAATGAAGGATAAAATGAGCTGTTATGGTTGATCTCATATTAGGAAGTGTAAGCAATTCTAACCAGAATGTTTTTTTAAAAAATATTTTTAAAATTGTCAATGGACCTTCATTTTATTTATTTATATATGGTGCTGAGAATCAAACACAGTGTTTCACATAGGCTAGGCAAGTACTCTACCACTGAGCCACAGCCCCAACCCTAACCAGAATGGTTTTGAAAACTTAAATAAGATGACCTTTTGTTTTAAATACATGACATCAAATAAAGTATATTTTCTTTAGGAACAGTCAACTTAATTGTAACTATCAGATACCCAGATAGATATTACTTAGTTTTATATGGGAGAAAGGAGATGATGGAAATTGATTTTAGATTTTGTAGTTTGGCCTGAAGTCACTGCAGTAAGAGGGGATCCTCCAAATTATTTAGTAAGTTCAAGTCTCATTGTATTTCCTATTCTCTGAACCAAGTAGGTTTGGGTAGAGAGATTCTAGAGTTATTCTGATAAAAATTAGCATATGCAGACATCATTCTCTATGTGAAAAGCATGTTGAGTCATAGTGAATGAAGCGTCAGAGAAATAATCTTGATGGACATTTAACATAGTTAAAATGGAAATTCCGATTGTGTCAGTATTGATTATTTTGGTGTGAGAAATATCAGAGCCAGACACAATGGCATGACTCAGTATTTTATAAGTGGTCAAAAGATTTTTAAAAAGTAAGGTGGTCAAAAGTAAAGTGGTCTCATTGAATGAATGAGTTGTTTTAGTTAATTCAATTTCTCAGATTGGATCACTTGAAGATCATGTACGATTCACTTTTCCACATGTGGGCAGGGCTGGGGAGTAGGACACCCTTAAGAATGGCTTCTGGAGGCAGTGACATCTGGTACCACTTTGCCATCTCATTTTGTTTCTTCTAAACTGTGTTTCTCTTTAACAACTCTAATAGGAATTAAAGAAAACTCACATGCACCCAGATGTGTGGTTCTGTGTACATAACCACACACTGACATGTAGTTTTAAAAGGGATAGGGACAATTCCAATTGGTTTCTTTTTACTTTCTCTTTCTCAACTTCCCCAATATTCTGGAATCCAGGGTAAAACAGTCCTGCCTTGGATGTGGCTCAGCATGGGTGTTGGCAGTGTCAGCAGAGGTGATAACTGGGCAACAGTACCCTACCCTGTATGTCCCAGGCCTGGTTTGGGTTAAATGAAACATCCTTCTCTAGAACCCCTGCTAATTTGTTATTTACTCTCCAAGTCTCCTTATACCATTTGTACTTGGCTTTATAACATCATTTTAAACACATTATCTGAAAGTCCTTCACTGGTCTTTCCAGATGTGGCCTAGAATTCCAAGAACTAAAATTTACTAATGTTTTAGTTAATTCACTACAATCATGGCCACCTAAGTGTGAAGGCTCCTTAGACTAAAAATCTTCCATCTGGTTTAACTGCAAAATGTGAAATCTGCTTACCCCTAAACATATTCAGAAGAGTGAAAAACCTTTCCAGCTTTGTTCTCTGAAAGAAAATTGATATAGGTCTAGAAATCAAGCACACTGGCAGAGTCTTATGATCTCAGTGTGTACCCAGAATTTGTCAGTTAAAACTCAGTCTCCAGTTCAGTRGTATTAAGAGGTGGGACCTGGAGGAGGTGATTAGACCTGAGGCTCCTCCTTGGTAAATAGGACTAGGCCCCTGAGACAAGAGGCCTCACACCTGTTCAGCCTTTTCCACCCACTGCTTTTTTTTTTTTTTTTTTTTTTGCCATATGAGGCAGAAAGCCTTCATCAGATTCTGAATGAGAGTCTTTATCTTGGACTTCCCAGCCTCTATAACTATAAGAAATTAATTCCTGTGAAGTTTGGCAATGTGGCTCAGTGGTAAAGCACTTGCCTACCATGCATGAGGCCCTGGGTTCCGTCCTTAATACCACACACACACACACACACACACACACACACACACACACACTAAAATAAAAATAAATTTCTGTGGTTTATAAATTACCCAGTGTATAGTATTATGCTAGAACAACATGAAAGGATTGAGACTTAGATATAACTTGATTTTTACAAGCTGTTGGCCTTGAAATAGTAGATCATGGAGTAAGAGCTATTTCAGTTCACTCTTGACCAAGTTTCTTACTCAACAGGTAAAGCTTTCTTGTCAGTAGTGAAAACTGCATTCTCATGGAAAGGAAGCCGCTAACTCTAAGACTCTAGTCTTAATTCTAATGGTTGTAGGATTTTGTCCCAAGTTAATCCGAATTCAAACTCAGATTGGGCTCCTACTCCTGTAGCACACATGATACATAACAAATTTACAAGGAAAAAAATCTCTCTTTTCTTTAAAAAGTTCCAGTGCCAACTTCTGTTTTAAACTTCAGACAACTAAGGATGTTGACTGAGAGGGATAGACACTTCGGTCCTGTCAATACTTCCCAGGTTCCGGGGCTGACATTTCTCAGACTCTACGTAACTACAGGGGGGAAAAAAATCCCATAAATGGATCTGGAGGAGGCAGATCGTATGGTTCTGCAGAACTGGAGGAAAGCCATAAATTGAACTCCATGGGAACTGTGTCAAACATTATTTCTGGAGAGTGTCATGGTTATACTTCACAGAAGACAAGCTAAATACWATTTGACAGGCAGAATTTTAAAGGTTTTCTTTTTAATTTTAAAATGTGCAAGTGAGTAAAATACCTAACATGCAAATATCACATCAATTATAGCAATTCTTGTCACTGAATGGGCAAAGAATTATAAATGCTACCAGTTAGCATATACTAGAAATCTCTCTCTCCCTCCCTCCTTCTCTCTCTCTCTGTCTCTCTCTCTCTCTCCTACTCACACACATGCGAACACTCACACACCTTTCTGTGAGAATAGAATCTAAGCACACGCATCAACTTCAAGGCACAATTGCTGTTTACAGACACTGGCAATTTGTCATCAGCCTTTGGGTTTGCCCAGCTCATTTGCCCTCTCATCTCTGACGCAAGAACACAGCATTAAGGCTGCTTTCCTGTGGTGGTTTCTAGCAGCCCTGGGCACTGCCCTGACACCTCATCASAGCATGTGCCTGACTGGTTCTGCTTCCCACTCTGTGATTGGGGTGGCTACGTGCTCAGCCATTAGTCCCAGAATGGCACACTAAGCACCCTATTCTCCATATTCTAGCATTGAATTTTTATGAAGAAACTTTTTATGGATCCTTATGAAAACTCATAAGGACTGGAAGCAGAATGACATTGTTTAAAACTAACTATCATAGAATTCTTCATTTTGTGTTCATTTGTTTTAGCCCTCRGTGCCTCGGGAACTCCATGTTATTAAAAATGTGCTGCCTTGGCACAGTGGTAAAGGATTTGACAGTCTATTGACCACAAGTGCATACATTCTAAATAATTCTATTGCTTGGTCTACAAGTGTGGGAGCATGGACAGGAGGCTTGTTTTTTCTCATTATGTGACTACTGCAGGTAACAGACTGATGAGGCAGCATTGCTAACAGACTAACTGTGAAGGAACCTCCAAACCTCCATCACACTGCTGCTTATCAGCCATGTGCCCTTAGGTTARCTACTTCAAGTCTCTAAGCCATCATTTCCTACACTGCAACACAGGGCTAACTACATCCACACCAAGCTGCTGATATGAAGATGAAGTGAGACAAAACATGAGAAGCGTAGTGCTCAGGGCACAGAGGGCATTCAGTAAAGAAGCTGTTATAATCTCATTGTAATAAATCACATGTACATATACATACACTTATGTATGTATTACCTATTTGTGTGACTATGTGTGCATGTGTTAGGTTCTAGGCTCAGAAAAAAGGAAGATGTTATATGTCTTTACATTTGTAGTAAATATAATTTGCTGTCCTTAATGTGAAAATCCCTTGGATCAAAAAGACCAAGTTTGAAATACATAGCTAGTATATAAAAATTGCTATTAAATAAAAAGTTATTGTGCTTTGTTTAATTGTTTAAAATGACTCTTAAAATCAAGAAAGTTAAATATAGACAAATCAGGCTGATTTATTACAAATACACTTTTTGTCATGACTCTGAAATGCTCTTAGAATGCTTTAATTTTATTTCTATTTTGCAAGGTAAACATTGATTGAAATCAAGCAATTTTTAAATTATTTCCCAGAATTAAATGTGTATGACACATGTGAAATGACCTAACTGCCAGTCAAAAATATTATAAATACCCATCATCAAAAGGATAGAGTACCYAAATATCAGAAACTACATATTTATGATCTATGCTTAATTATTTTTGTTTTGGATGATGCATTTTTTTTCATATTACTTTGCAAATATTTAATCTACAGAAGTGAGAAAGAGAAACAAATRCACAAAAACAAAAATCTCCAAAACAAAACAAAAAAAGACAATGGAAACTTCATTTTTTGCATTGGGATCTTTCCATAAATCAATGATGAGATAAGCAGCGAAAATTACAAAGAAACATTCCTTGTTTTGTGTTGTTGTTAATCTTTATAACAATCTTTCAGTATAACATAAAGAATATCTACAGTTATCTGGAAGAAGGGACATATAAAGGCTGATAAAGATTGTAGTCCATGATTTTTAGAACCAATTAGAGTCTCCTATCATGMCTAGACAGAATTATTTGTGAGAAATGTTTCCCCYCCCCCCAGGCAGTATCCCTTTCTTAGTTGATCTTACTAAACAAATTAAATTAATCTCGATAATTGGATAAAGCTACTTCATTTTAAAAAAAGCAAATATTTACAAAGAATACATATTCTACTTTGATAACAGTTGAAACTAGACAAACTGGCCACATTCAAGAGTAAGGTTCAAACTATAACTCTGAATTTTTTGTTTTATACGTTATATACATATCTATATAATTATGATGTTACAGAATATGTTTATATATTGATTATGTTATACATATGTGTGTATATATTATATAAAATCATGGTCCTCTAAATGTTACCAGTA